GGACTGGGCAAATATTATGTCAACCAAGATGATAAACTGGTTTCGAAGGCTCTGCTGTTTGGTAAGCAGTACAAGATCTATCGGCAAAGCTCGAAGGGTCAACGGTAAAAGCGTTGGATAAATCATGGACACTCCAAATTCATCATTTCCTACTGCATCGGATACCGTTCGCACAATTGACTGTGACAAAGGGAAATTTGGCTGCAATATGGCAATTCGAGCAAAATGCGAACAGACCCCTTGGACAATCCAGATATGGACGGAAGAGACCAAGTCAGCAGAAACGTGCATCCGCTCTATTAGGTACATCCTCGCAACGTCCCTGGTCTGAGCAATTTGGTCACTCAATCGAAGGACACCATAATGAGAGTCAGTATGGACGACACCGTCGAGGTGTCCGTGCACATCCACATATGACCTCAAGTCTTGCAGTTCTGTCTCAGATTCGAAGTCGACTTGCATCAGACTGCTATCGTCAGGGTCTTCGTGATCATCTTGCTGTATGGAATGTTCGTTGTCAAAAGACCCGTTTTCATCATCGCTTCCTGAATCAGTCATGGACTCGTCTGCATTTCCGGAGCTATCACATGTAGAAGTCTCACTGTCTTCCTCACTATCGAATCCCAATTCTGACAAAATCATGAACATCCCCTCGAATACCGGCATGCTCTGCTCATACGAGTAAGTAACATCTCCTGTGTCATGTGGGATAACAATCGTGCAAACAGCATTCCAAACACAGCCATTCAAAGGAACAGTCTTATGAAAAATCTCATGGACCCTGGGAAAGGTCAAAGATTGCAAGATATATGTGCCTCTGAATCGATCCGTGTCGGAAACGTATTGAAATAGGATGGGAACATACCGCTCCCCTTGGACAGTAGTAACAATCACATGAGGCTGTGGACCAATAGCTGTCATGGGTGCTGGTCGCACCGGGAAGATGAAACTAGATCTCCTCTCATAAACATAGGCCCAAACTTGTCGTATTTGTGCTGCAGCAGGTGAAAAAAGCTCGAGAGAAAGTTGGACATACTTTCTGCAAACCTGCCCAATCTCATCAGCAGGATGGAACCACACAACAACATGAAAAGGCCGCGGAACAGTTTGTCGGAGGTATCCCATGACAGCGTCTTCGTGTATGGCAGTAACCTGCATCCAACTATGGTCATCAAATTGTGAGAATGGAGTTGCAGTGTTTCCTCCATATTGCAAGAAAGCCACCGTGTCCAACTCATCATCGTCTTCAGTCCATGATTGGTCACTCCCTGATGAACTGTCCGAATAATCTGAATTCTCTTCTGTTGAAGAGCAATCGAAGCCCCGGACGGTCCGCTCCTCAAAAAGGGCATAGGCACCTTCGTAAAGCAGGAGCCGGTCCCACCATGCATAGGTGATGCCTCTGATAGTGATAGTGCACACGTTGTCCCAAACACATAAGTTTACTGGCACAGCACGCATGAAAAGATCTGCAGTGGTCCAGCTCTGCACCGGGCCGAACAAAAAGGTTCCTATCCATTGCCTGCCTGGCGTGATCACTTTCCCTAAAACAACGAAGTAATCTTCTGGCAGGACCGGAACTAACAAAAAGGTAGGGCCGTGAACTGGAGCTGGCCTAACCCGCAGAATATGTACATTTGGCCTTACCTGATAGTCCCTCCATGCAGTGCATAGCTGTCTTCGAATCGGGGTGGTAACGCAGACCTGAAGCTCCTTGTGCAAGAATGACCACTGATTTCTACGATCCCAAAAATGGACCCATGAAAGGACGCGCCATGAACCCACTCCATATGCATGGAGAACATACTCAATCAATGGGCTATCAGCACGGCCAGTTTGCATGAGACCAACATGATCTTCTTCTAGGGATTCCCAAGGGGCAATTTCGATAAGGACTAAATCCCCTAATCGCACACTGTCTGAAGACATCTCTTTACTATGCGCGACAGACGAAATTCTTCTTCTGCCCCTCTGCCTATCACCAGCATTTAAAAGGGAAGAGATCCCACGGAAGCTTCGGATCGCAGTAGCATAGATATCAACTCGCATGTCGTTCTCCTGCGCAACATTTATTTCAGCAACTAATACTCCGGATCGGCTCGGAAAGGCATCGCAGCGAGATACAACTGCAAAATATGCCTGTTGCGCAAAGAGAAAAGAAGGATCAGGTCGGACAAAACTGAAACAACAATTCGGAGAACACTGGTCTTGCCAAACAGAAGTTATGGCCTGCTCTAGTTGTCCAAAATCACGCTTCAAGATCTTCACTTGGCGTGAAGTCCTTTCAACACTAGGGAAAACAGGCGCAAACCAGGACACGACCAGGATGTCTTCCTGGCAAAAGAGGAAATCTTGCGTCTCTTTAGCCCTGCCTTCAGCATCAGGCCTACTGGCACGAAATTGCATGTAGCATGTTGTTTCTTCATTATCATCTACGTCTACAAATCGACTTGCATCTCCACTTACGGGCTCTATGGGACTTCTGCCTAGCTTCTGTGGAATGCACTACATCTGGAGTCCGGGATGATTCATCAAGCTTTTTCTTTTGTTATGGGAAGCCCTTTATCTATATGATAGGGGATGGCCTTCACCTTTTTGAGACCCTTAACCATTTCGGGGATTGGTTGGGGATATCTAGCTTCTTCGCAAGTGACTCAGCTCAAGATTTTTCCTTTCAGCTGCAATCTATGACTGTGGCACGACTATTCGATGCTCTGAACTGGGTTGTTGTTGTACTTCGCTCTGTTCCTTTTCCGTCTTTGAGCATTCGATTCCTGTTGCTGCAGTGTGCATTTATTGCCTGGATGATTGCTGGAGCGAGTGGCTACGCGGCTATCATTCTTTGGCTCGAATCCTATCCTTTATTTGGCCGAAAGAAACGAATTATCCCTTTTCCTGGTTTCGGGAGGTGCTTCAGTGCGCTGTGGAAGTTAGGAATTGCAGGAACTATCAATGCTTTCTGCCTTGAAAGTATACCAAACGGAGTTGCTGAGACTTGGGGAATCCGATGTTTCCAACTTCTTTGGGGAGCAAATGTCGTCGGTGTCTTGATATGTATATGTTGCATCTATGTGCGATTCCGTCTCTATGATGTGGTTCGTGGCCCGAGGAGTTGTGCTTTCGTCCGAACACGCCGAATTGTGCCAGCTCTTCGCACTCGCACTAGGATTAAGTGGAAGGGCGTTTTTCTCTTAATCAATTGTTGCAGTGCCAATCTTTCGGATTCCTTTCAGATGCAAGGGCCTAGAAATGTTGATGCCAACATTGCCCACTTCCTATCAGGACTAGGCTAGAAGGCTTTGTTCATTGCTCTGGCGATGTGTGGATTGACTGTCCAAGGCCCCGAGGGCTTAGAACTGCTCTCGCTATTGATAGCGATCGAGCTAATTGGAGCTGTCAGCAATTTTGTCTCAAATGGCATCTGCACTGCACCTCGTTCATCCAGTTCTCTATACTTCTGTTCAACTCTCGCAGAATCAGCAACGCCGCCCTTCAAACTGGCGCAATCTGCCTTTCTGCAATTCATCTCATCTACGACATTCCATGGAGTCGAGGCTCGCTCCTCCTTGGTGTGGTAATCACCGGGAGGCCATTCGGATAAGGTGCAGCTCTCTCGGCCTTTTTTGGCAAAGCTGACTTCCCAAATGGCTTGAGCGCCTGGCTTGTCATTGCATCTGGCACCATAGTCGCAATTGGCTTCGACTGGGCCTCTTTGAACTCTTCCAGCGCTCGTGCTATTAGCTCTTCTACCTGCGGCCCAGTCTTGAACTGGTTTGGATCGTCTTGCATCCGCTGGAGTGCACACATTTGCACTGCCTCGGGGACCATGCCGAGATCAAAGCCCTCCATTTCCTCGGTCTTCACGCGGATAGGAGACCGCGATCTGGACTTCTCCTTGGGGTCTGCACGAAACGCCGCTGGGGCTACCGGGTGTTGCGGAGACCATTTGGATGGCGATTTCAGCAGCACCATAGTCTGGAAGGTTTCCATCATATTCTGCATTTGTGCAGCCATCTGCTGATTCCGAGCCTCCATCTGGCACATGTAGGACTCCATTTGTCCATAGCCGGCACGCAGGGCCTCCATTTCTTGCCGCACCGTACTGGGGATCTTGTCCGTCGGCTCGTCGTCTTCGAGATGGATGACTTCCCCATTTTCTGCGGCCTTCAAAGCCTCTTGGAGCTCTGCGAGGGTCGAGTTGACACGTTGTGTTTCTGACTTCACACCGGCCTCTATGTCCTCTTTCCAAGTCTTGAACTTCTCTTCTTTCTTGCGGATGTCGTCTTTGAGCTTGGCTGTCCGATTTAGGACTTTCCTCTCCTGATTGAGCTCTCTCTGTCGAGCTTTCAGGGACTCCCGAGGATCTTCCTTGAGGTAGTCTTGCACATCCTCTGGCACTTCTTCTGTGGCCGCGACCTTCTGGGCAAGGAACCGTATGGTAGCCTTGAGCTTGGAATTCTCCTCGGCAACACTCAACTCCTGCTTGGAGGCAGATTGCGACGAGGGCCGCCCAAGTCCACCATCTCGGTGGACGGGCTTTCCGTCGAACCCGTAAAGAACGGGTCTCTCCTTCGGCTCCTCCTTCTTTCGGTTCTTGCGGGCCCATCCATCGCTTGCCCATTTCTCCTCTTGCCATGTCGGCTCTGTCCATGGCTGCTTCTGTCCTTTCCTCCATGACATCGTCAAGATGCGGTATGCTGGCTTCGAATGATAGCTTTCCAGTAGTTGAACTGCAGCTTTTATTCGATCCAGTTTCCTTAGTAGGAAGGATCTAGAGGCCTTGGCCTTACAGATCAGAGCCCTAGCTCGTTGGCGCCTCAGTCGCAGTCTTCTGTGTCCGGGAGGACTCCAGGGCACAGCTATTGCGGCACGGTCGCTGGCGACGCTTTTTGCGTCTGGGGTTCAAACTGTTCTCTAAACAAAGAGCGATATTTGAGCCCTGTTTTAGGTGGGAAGGAAAAAAACAGATGAGAGGTGCCACAAGTCTGAAGCCAAATCTCCTGCTAGCATATCCAAGATTTGGACGTCACATTTGCCAGGGGACACGGCGATTTTCACCTTCACATGGGTGGGAGTGAAAATTGCGGCAAGGGCCTTGCGTGAATTTACATGTCTCGGCCTCCATGCGCATTTGAGTGCGGTAGGGGCCCATGTCTGTTGGCCTTCGCTCAAATCTGCCACGCGAGTCACACAAGCGCCGATGGAAAATGTTGTCCGTTTCTCAGGGGGTGGCTCAAGGTAGCACAAGAGCACTTCCGGATCCTCCGGCTTCGTCTCGATACGTTGGAGACCTTGTAGGCAGACCTGCGTGGCAAACAGCTGGAAAAACACCTGTTTTTCCCGAAAGCACTGCGAAGGGTTCTTCCGGAAAATCTCTTGAACACTGACACTTCTACACTTGCACTTACACACTGACACTTCCACACTTGCACTTGAACACTGACATTTCTGCACGTACACTTGAACACTTACGCTTCCACACTTACACTTGAACACTGATACTTCTATACGTATCCCAGCGTAAGTGGAAGAGTGAAAGCATCCAACGGCAAGTATATCCAAGTGCAAAAGTACAACTTGCACGGGAGATGTCCTAATGAGTATGCAAGTGTGAGTATTGAGTATGCAAGTGAGTATGGAAAACTTGCACGGGAGATGTCCTAATGAAAAACATTTCCCCACTTTATAAATTCTCTCTTAAAGGCGGAGGGTGGGACGAACAGCGTCAACCGAAAATGTAACCCTCTGCGGAGATCGTGCGTGTCGAGTGCGCGAAATGCAGGCGAGAGTGCGAGTTGTCCCATCCCGGCGCAACCCTCTGCGGAGATCGCGCGCGTCGAGTGCGCGAAATGCAGGCGAGAGTGCGAGTTGTCCTGCACGCGGGCACCCCTCTGCGGAGATCGCGCGTGTCGAGTGCGCGAAATGCAGGCGAGAGTGCGATTTGTCCCAT